CAGAGCTGGGATTACGGGCATGTGCCACCACTCCCTTCTTATCTTCTTTGAGACAGGATCTCTTTAAGTAGGCCAGGTTAGGCTCAAACTTGCAAACTCCCTCCTGTCTCAGCCTCTCAGAGTGCTGAGATTACAAACAGTCTTTCCATTTTGTGACAAGGTTGCACTTAATTGCCTACGTAGCCAGGCATGGTGGCGCACGCCTATACTCCCAGCATTCTGGAGGCTGAGGCAGGAGGATCATTGGAGTTCAAGACCAGCCTAGGCTACATAAGTGAGCTCAAGGCCAGGCTGAACTGCACAGTGAGACCCTGTCTCAAAAAGACAATCAATCAATCAATCAATCAGTCAATAAATGGCTAGCCCATGTTGGCCTCAAATTTGCAATCTTCCTGTCTCAGCCTCTTAGGTAGTTGGAATATCAGAGTGTGCAACTGTGCTCAGCTTTTTTTTTTTAGACTATTTTATTTTATTTTTTTGTTTTAAAGATTAAAAAACTAGGCTGGGCATGGTGACCCATCCCTGTAATCCCAGCACTTGGGAGGCTGAGACAGGAGGATCCTTGGGAGTTTGAGACCAGCCTGGGCTACAAAGTGAGCGCAAAGCCAGCCTGAACTGCATAGTGAAACCTTGTCTCAAAAAGACAAAAAAAATTAAAAATTAGAAACTTAAAAACAACTAACAAAATGATGAGGACAAAATCAAAGCAACACAGAAACAACAAAAACGATACATTACCTCAAAACAAAATGATAGGAATTAACAGTGCTACATTACATACTGCTATCTTCAGCAAAGTTGCTCAGTCCACCAGACTTAAGAATGTAAGGTTGATCAGACAATCAAAGATAGTAGCAAGTAATAAAAAAAAACATTGGAAATGATGCAGAGCTTCACCATACAAGGTGGCAGGAGTTCAGCAATGGTTCTTATACTGAGTATTACTGTTTTCAGATCCCTCATTCTGATGACGAGATTCAAGCGTGCAAAATTGGTCAAGGAAAAAGAAAATTTTAAGCATTGACTGTTCCTTTCAATAAACCACAGACAACAGCAGTACACCTATCCCAGCTATCCTGGTATATACATATAAATTTTGTTTTTCATTTTAAAGACAAAAGAAAAAAAAAACGAAATAACAAAAACAAATACTTAAAACAGCATAGAGAACAATAAAAATGATACAGAATTTCAAAACAAGGTGACAGGATATTAACAGTGGTTGTTATATTACATAATGTTATCTTCAAAATGGTTGCACTTACAGCCAGGTGTAGGCATGCAAGATTGATCAAGCAATTACACAGTAAGTTCCTTTCAATAAACCAGCAAGTGTTAGTAGTACAGTTATCCCTGCTATCCTGTGTATACATAAACTTTTTTTTTTTTTTTTTTTGAGACAAGGTCTCAGTTGCTCGCACTGGCCTCAAACTTGTGACCCTCCTGCCTCAGCCTCCCTGGCAGCTGGGATTACAGGTGTGCACCACCCCACCTGGCTCCAGAGAGATTCT